GAGGGATATATCCAATAGACAGCTCAGTTTAACACATGTAAACTGCAGGAATACAGCTTTTGCCACCCTTGAAAGAACAGATCTGAGGGGGACAAGAAAGGAGACAGAAACAACAAGTTAGGAGACTTTTAAATAGTTCAGGATAGAGATAATGAAGACCCATACTACGAAAATAATAATGCTCTAAAAAAGATGGAACACATAACGTGTATTAAAGAGGTAAAATGGACAGGCTTTAGTGATCAGTTGAAAACAGAGAATAAAACTGGAGAGATTGTAGAGATATTTGGACCACTGAATTTGCAGGTAGCATTTGCAATAGAGTAGTTCACAAATGAGACTACAGAGTGACCAGAAAAGAAGGAAGAAGGAAAGGAGAAAGTGGTATCACAGAAACTAATGAAGCAGAAGATTTCAAAGAGAGAGTATTAAAAAGCAAAGTGCCTCACATGTCAAAAAATTCGGGGACTTGAGAAAGTAGGACAAGAATTGAAATGTGTCTGTTGCGTTTGGAAATAAGAAGTAATTAGTCTTTTTTTTTTTTTTTTTTTTGAGATGGAGTCTCGCTCTGTCGCCTGGGCTGGAGTGCAGTGGCGTGATCTTGGCTCACTGCAAGCTCCGCCTCTCAGGTTCAGGCCATTCTCCTGCCTCAGCCTCCCGAGTAGCTGGGACTACAGGCACCCACCACCACGCCTGGCTAATTTTTTGTATTTTTAGTAGAGACAGGGTTTCACCGAGTTAGCCAGGATTGTCTCCATCTCCTGACCTTGTGATCCATGCCCGCTTCGACCTCCCAAAGTGCTGGGATTACAGGCATAAGCCACCTTAGTAAAGGCAGTTATATGTGTGGACCACTTTTATTGAAGCCTTGTTATACAGGTTGTACACAACTTGGTTATACAGGGAATGGTCAAGAAAAGATGTCTCTTTTATTTACTTTTTATTTTTATTTTTGTCATGAAAAGAACTCAATGGGAGGAAAAGGTTAAAAACACAGAGAAGAAAGAGGATAATTATGAAAAGGGGCCCTGAGAAAGCAAGAGGACAGCATGTGCTCTAAATCACAGACAAATTGAACTTGGACAGATAGAGGGCTAGTTTTTCCTCTCAGACAGGACAAAGCATGGGTGAAGATACAACTCAATGTGTGTGTAAAAAACAGGAAAGTGCGTGGATAAGTGGTTCAAGCAGATCTGATGGCTTTTATTTTCTGTGTGAAATAGCAGGCAAGCCCATCTCCTGAGAATAAATGCATAATAACTGAGTTGGAGACTTAGAAAGAGAGGAAAAGGTTTGCAATAACCACTAAAGAGGATGTAAAAGAGCCAAGGGAATTCCAGAAGAATCTGAGTAAGGACATGGAGAAGGATGATCTGGTTAGCACTGATTCATTCTGCAGTTCTCAGCTAAGACGTCAACTGCTCAAAGATGAAGTCCCTGTTACGTGTTTTCAGAGAATTGACTACCTTTCTTTTAGAGACTTATCATGGTTTAAATCTTATATTAATTTGTGAGATTATCTGATTAATTTACGTTTCATTGGACTGCAATCATGAGGTCAGGGATATTTATTTTGCTCATCATTGTATCATTTAACCTTTAGTTTCCCATCTCTAAAATATGGAGAATAATAATTCCTTTCTACATGATCAGGAAATGGATATAGTTAGGTTAGCATGAAACTGGAATTTAAGATATAAGAAGACAGGGACTTCTGATTGTTCATTGATGTATCCCCGGTGCCTAGCACAGTGCATGACACATTGTAGAAGCTCAATAAGTATTTACTTGAATGAATGAAACAAATATAGCTTCATATTTGGTGTCATAGGACACCAAGTCTCTAGACTTCCATTCTAGTGCTCTTCCCATTCTCCTACAGCTATCTACAGCAGATGATTGATGCATTATGTTTATTATGCTAAGGGTCAATGCATATGCATTATTATCTTTGTTTTGCTCAAGAAGAAAGTGAAGCTCTGAAAGATGAAGTATCATGTGCAAATTAAACAGCTAGTAAGTGGTGGATCGAAATTCAATCCTAGGTCTGTGTCACTCCAAAATTTGATCCCTTTCTAGTATTCCATAATACCTACTCAGGTATTAGACAATAAAAGGTTTCATATATGAACCTTTCTAGGAGTATGCATAGTTGAAATTGAAACTTTCCCATCAACCTCCCCACTGGCAAAGAAAAATAAACAAATAAAAAAGCATTACTTTAGTGGTAAAAAATCTCAGGAAAAGTAACTATGACAGGCCAATGAAGATAACATTTATGGGCATTCACCTACCACTGCCTCCCACATCACACCATGGAAGCACCTACCAATCTACTCTATGTGACCCTATATATTATCCGTCTCCCCAGAATAAATTTTTACCCCACAGGCACAATGGAAGACCCAATTCTAAAGAGTTTATCTTCTCAGAATTGTCTCAGAGTGACCACAGAAGTAGGATGGGGTAATGGAAAAAGCCACATAGATCTTGGCATGACAGTGATACGGGAGGGGGGCAGGAAAGTGCTGGGTAGAGAAGGACAGAGTCCCTGGCAAGGGCTCCACCCTAGGGCCTGTGCCCATGGACCTAAGTGGGAACAGGCACTCCTGTTTTCACGCCCAAATGTTGCATTTTCCATGACCACTCTGGCCCACCATGTTCCCCATCCTGTGCCCATAAAAACTTGAGACCACAGCGGGCATGGACACAAGTGGTTGGACATCAAGAAGAGCAGAGGAACACACCAGCAGACATCAGCAGACATCAGCAGACCAACATGGACACTGAGGGGAGTTTGACCAGGGGCGGTTAGAGGAGTATCCAGGGGAAGATCACCTCCGCACTCCATCCTCCTTCTGGCTCCTCATCCATCTCACTGAGAGCCACCTCCACCACTCAATAAAACCTTGCATTCATCCTCCAAGCCAATGTGTGATCTGATTTTTCCGGTATACTGGGCAAGAACTCAGGATACAGAAAGCCCTCTGTCCTTGCAGTAAGGCAGAGTCTAATTGAGCTGATTAATACAAGCCATCGGCAGACAGCAAAGCTGAAAGAGCACACTGTAACACACACCCACTGGGTTTCAGGAATCATAAACACTCACCCCTAGGTGCTGCCATGGGGTTGAAGCCAAAAGCACTCCCCACAACCTCTGGACCTGTCTGTCTGCGTGCTCCCATAGGGGTTTCAGCAGCCTGACACCGAAGAACTGACCCTTGTGGCATGCCCTGCGAGGGGCATAAGGGAACTCTCCCGTTTCAATACTTGAGCTATCTCTATCCCAATTTTCTTATCTATGAAATGAAGGCAATATTACTTGCCTACATAAGGCTTAGGAAATGATTAAATGGAATAGTGTATATAAAATGTCTGTAGCACAGTGGGCATAATAATTCAATTGTTAGCTGTCTAGTGCTTCCCTCATATCCAGAAGCCACCTCCTATTGATTCCTTGAAGACACTGAAAAAATATATCAAAAGGAACAAGCAACCCACCCCACCCTGACTTCTCCAAGTTGTAGCAAAATACATATGATACATTTCTTTGATTAAAAAAAAAAAAAATGCCTTGGAAGCAGCAACTAATCATTTACAGGTGAGATCTCAGCACCAAAAAATAAAAACAATCCAATAAGCATTCTGCCTCTCCTTTGTCTTATCCTACCGTTTAAATAGTTATTTCTAACATTTTATTGCCTTTCATAACATTAGGTAGAGTCAGGACATCTGGTTCATTTTACAGATGAGGAAAGTAAGATAGGGAGGGTGGGGTGTCCATTCCAAGGTCACACAGCTATGCAAGGAAGATCTAGAATTGAAAATCAGATTTCTTGGTCCTTAGTTTAGTACTCTACCCACTTAGTAATAATAATGATAATAATAGATCTGTGCAATTTATTTGAGTCACAAACTCTCTAAAACATTATAGAATTTATTAAAATTTCAGTCAAAAATAGTTGAAATATTTTATTGTCTAATACCTTAGTAAGCAGTGTGGAATAGGAGAAAGAGCTCAGATTTTGAAGTAAGGCAGACTTGGGATTGAATTCCAATTCCACTCTAAAGCATTCCAGAGTTTTAAAAATTTCAATAAAAAATAGCTGATGCATGCTTGTAGTACCAGCTACTTGAGAGGCTAAAGAGGGAGGATTGCTTGAGCCCAGGAATTCAAGCCCAGCCTGGGCAACAGAGTGAGAACCAATCTCTTTAAAAAGTTGTTTTTAAAGAGCTCATTAATTTTTGGTGTTCATGTCCTGCTTTTATGTATCGTATTACATATTTAAAGAAGAAAACTAATCCGGAAGCACCCAAAATGGGTACAGTTTGTAAAAGTGATGTTCATTATTTAAGTGTTAACTATAGAGGAAAACAAGCATCAGAAGTATGAGATGATAGTTCATTTCAGAGCAAAAGCTGTGAAAATTGGAAATTTTATATGAATAACTCTACTGTATATGAAATCATAATATAGGAGCAAATTATGCATAAAAGGACACGCATATTCTATAACTTAATTCAAAACATCATACAAAGATAATGAAATCATTCATTTTAGAGAAGTTCTATGATTGTCTGTGAGCTTAAGAGATAAAAGTTGCTGCAAAGTCAAGGATTCTGACTCATAGAAAAAAATCACATAGAAATTAATCTCAGAGAACATCCTAACTCTAAAATGCAACTACCTTACCACCACCAAAAAAAAAACAGGTTTGCTTTATGAGGTATGAATTTTATAGAAAATAAAGGCTAATAAGGCTAATAAGAAAACAACAATAAAATTAAAGCACTAGTGCTATCCATACTGATGATCCAGCACCCATAAGCTTCATGTGGGAAAGAAATGCAGTACTCCCCAAATTATTGTTGTATCAAATCAAACTATTTTTGCCCCAAAAAGATTCAAGATCCCATTAGGAAAAAGTGAAGAAAGTGAAACAAATATTCAAAACTTACCTCTTACCTGCAAACTTTCTCCCCTAAAGTATCAGACTTACTCTATATGAATAATGTGTCCAGTTGTAATCAAATTCTGTAATACCACTGAAGACTGTCTCAATGAACAGCTCCTTAGTTTAAATGGATTTTAAAGGATCTTAGAACTAAAGCCTTTCTTTTAAAAACGTAGGAGGAGCTCTTGCTTTATCCATGAAAAATACCAACTGTCATTAGAAAATTTGCATCCAAAACAGGTCAGCATTTAAGGTTACATTTGTCTGTCAAAAGATTCAGAGGAAATTACAAAGTTCATCTGAGTGTTTTCTTCCCCCTTTTAATTAGCTCCTGATACAGCATCTTAGTATGCCAGTGTTTTCTTTTTTCTTTTTTCCTTTTTTTTTTGTTTTATTTTGTTTTGTTTTAGCTGTGTGACTCATCACATTGGGAATTAAAAGATAATCCAAAGGTAAGCATTTGATTGCCAGGTTTATGTCGTTTCCTCAAAGTGTACTACCCAAAGGCATTATTATTTTGAGTTTCAAATACTTTAAGTACAAAAGGAGTCATAAATAGATAAGGAATCCAGAAACCCGGATTCTACTCTAGGCTTTCCCTCCCAGTCAGCTCTGTGACCTTGGGCAATTTCCTTAACCTCTTTGGGCCTCAGTTTCAAAAACTTATTGAATGGGATCTCAGAAGTAATCTGGTCTAACCTCCTATTCCCAAACAAAAATTGCCCCTGTACTTTCCCTAAGCAATTGTCAGTTTCTCATGTGTAAAAGGAGCCAATAGAACTATGTCATTGTCTAAAGCTTCCTTGATTTCTAAAATTCTTGATGTTGTAATTAAAATTCAGTAAGTGTTATGTATATATGTTGTTTCCCATTGGAAATTTATCAAATCATTCTTTACACAACCAAACAGGAGTTTATTTTTGTAAATTCAGGCCACCACCAAATTGTCCCTTATCCTTCAAGTCTCCAAAGAGGTTTTGTCTGCCCCTGGTTTAATCTCCATGTCCAGGAACCACGCAAAGCCATAAGAAGCCAGACTACTTTTGATGCTTTTCTGGAGCAGATGAGATGCCAGTCATTTATTCCCAAAAGGGAATGAATTGAGGCTGTATCCAATCTGTACACCATCCAATAGATACAAATTATCTTCCTTGCTTTGGAACACAGGTTCAGACTTGATAACTTCTCTCAGATTCTAAAGATAGGTTTTACACTAAATACGTGAATAAACAAATAAAAGGCAAGAGTGTGAATGAAGAGTGGGCCACGTGTGCAATCCTCTCTCCACCATTAGCTTTATGTTGTACCCCAAGATGTTTTTTACCCCTAGATGTCTTTTTTTTTATTATTCATTTCCATAGCTGATGTTTCTCCCTAAATTAAAGTTAGGAGGGTGGGAAGAAACTGGGAATTGTTTAGGGAGTTTTGTATTTACTTTTCAGATGTCAGCTGATTTGGCTCTCTCACAATAATTTTTAGCAGAAATTATTTATCAGGCCTACAGGAGGAATTTTCTAATCAGAATTTGCTGACATGACGGTAAGAAAAAGAAGATCTAGATTCAAAATCTTCTTTCTTTTTCCTGAGATTGCATTTTCAATTAACTAATTTGTCTTCTTCTATTTAAAGAAAAAAAAAAAAAAACACCTCCAGGAAGTTTTCTTCAAGCTTCCTGTTTCCCCTGAATCCTCTAGCTCTTGCCAATATTTAACTACGCTATAACTTATCTTTCAATGCCACTAGCCCAACTTCGTGATATTCTTATTATATACTATGATATTGGAGTACAATTCAAAGAAATGGAAGCATAATAATATCTTGGAATAATAAAGTACATTTATTTGTAGATATGCAAACCACAAGTTAAATTTAGTTAATCAAATACAGTTAGAAACAATAATGCACCATGCCTCAGTTGTTAAAGTCCATTAGATATTCCCTTCCACCTTGATTTGATAGCTTAATCAGTGAAAGCATAAGGTAAGCTTTGCTTCTTGGTGTGAAAAAAAATACACTAAAAAGATAATTCATTTTAATCTACTAAAAGTCCTATTTGAATGCTTTCTAATGGCATCAATACAAATAAATATATTCTTAGCTTTGAATAAATATATTCTTTGTCATTGATACTTGTATACTTGTACCTTAGCAATCATTAATCTCTGCTCCAGACACAAGGCATGTTTCAGGTCCTAAGAAAAGAAGATTTGGGAGTAAACTGGAATGGTGCAGAGAAAGGAGGATGGGTAAGACTACTTGGGGCAACCCCTCTCTAGCTGCAAGATGGTCTACCCCAAATTGAAGAGAAGGTGTAAACCCAAATTTGATGCAGACGTTGGGTAAGTGTTACCCAACGGGTGTGGAGTGAAAGGTACAACAAAGCCTAAGAATGGGGAAATTTTTCAGGACAGTTGAGATTAAGTCATTGTGACACAATTAGGTGCAGCTAGAATGGAGCTAGGCTAGACAAGGACGTTCCATAGCCTCTCCAGCAGGAATATATACACTACTTTATTTTATCTAGTATCCCCCTCAGACAAGCAAGTGGGTATTATTTTAGTTTTACAAATGACTATTAAGTTACTTTCCAGAAGTCAAAAATTCAGGAGAAATCAAACCTAGGTCACCTAGATTTGACACCTAAGCTTATGCTCTTCCCATAGAGTCATTCCACTGCTGGAATGTTTTGTTTTGTTTTGTTTTGTTTGATACCTCAGTAGCTAAAATGGTCAACTAGCAGATGTCATTCTGTAAAGCTTTATAATCCCAAGTATTCTGTTAATTATCAAAACAGGAAATGAGTATTCCTAAACTGCTATACAAATGAGGTAATCGGCAAAGGCAGCATCTAATGTCTCAAGTATTTAATGGCCTTGGTAAGGTTAAAGGGCATTAAATAGGCAAAAACAAGAAAAATAAACAATGCTTTGACATTTAGGTTATATATATATGCACATGTACACACATGGTTTAAACAAAATTCCCTGAATTTGGTAACAGTTTTTAAACATTCATGCAAATGTCACTTCTAAGGTTCTAAAGGCATTTAAAAAAAATCAAACCATCCCCACGAGACTGACTTGAAAAGTTATTTGGTAAAGTTGGCATATTGCATAGAACATTGGTCTCCTATAAAGAACACACTCTGTGAGATAGAGGGCATCAAGATTGCCTGCTTTCCCCCAAATCCAGTTAGTTTGATAAAACTAATTTATGAACTCTGAATTCACCCTCTAGACTACCACAGATTCAACAGTAGGAAACCAGACCTGAGATTCTCAGGAAACCCACAAGATTTGGAAAATACAATTAGTAACATCAGGGTCTAGTCCCTAGAAACTTACTGGAATTAACAATTAATACCAGTCATGAACAGAGACCACAGAGGTTAGCTGTGCCAGACTGTTTGCCATTCACTCATTCAAGAGTTACAAAGCAATAATGTGCCAAGCATTGTAGCTCACATTCTAGTTAGAAGGATAGAAACCAGAAACTATGAAATATTTATGGTACAGTGTGAGAAGAACAGGACACTATGATAGAGGTCATTGGCAGCAAAGGGAGCTCAGAGGAGAGAACAGCAAACTCTACCTGTGTTGTCAAAAAGGTGAGTATCTTCACGCAGAGATGGTTTGGAGAACCACCCTGGCTCCTGATAATACCAAGTTGTAGAATAATAAAATGTATATTTGACATTTGTTCTGGGTTATCTCAACAGAGTGCCTAAAACCCTTGGAATTTCCTGAGTAATAGGAATGTCTTCTATTATTCATAATGAGCCCCTTTCAACTACACCTGAATTTATGCTAATGAAGTGACTCTTGGAGGATAGGGGCTAGTGGCCAGAGGAACCAATCACTCAGTTAGAGGGTTTGAACTTTCAGCCCCACCTCTGACCTCCAGGGATGGTAGAGGTTTCAGAGATTGAATCAATCACCAATGGCCAATGATTTGATCCATCATGCCTACATAATGGAACCTCCACTTAAAAAAACAAACATAAACCAAAGAGTTCCAAGAGCTTCCACATTGAGGTGCTGGGAGGGCGGCATGTCTGAAGAGGGCATGGAAGGTCCACAACTCCCTACCCCATACCTTACCCTATGAAGTTCTTCCATTTGACTGTTTTGAATTGTATTTTTTTATAATAAATTGATAATAGTAGTGTTTTCCTGAGTTCTGTGAATCATTCTATCAAATTATTGAAACTGAAAAGCCAGTTAGTCTGAAGCATTGGGATTTGCTAATGGCACCTGAAGTGGGGCAGTCTTGTGGGACTGAGCCCTTAACCAGCCATGTCTGTGCTAACTACAGATAGTGTCATAATTCAATTGAATTGTTGGATGCCCAGTTGCTGTCAGAGAATCAGAGATTTAGAGAATTGGTTGGTATCAGAAAATACCCCAGACAAGTCAAACTTCTGTGAAAATAAATAAAATTTAAAAGCCATGGAATCCCCAAAAACACTTTAAGCTCTGAGAGAAATGTAACTGTGATTCAAGCCACAGATGGATACAACTTCTGTTCTCAGGTTATACGTTGACTCATTTTCTTATTTTTCTTGTTCTATACCATTACTAGAGATAATTAAACAATGTCAGGGACAAAAATCTCCTGCCTTCTTAATGAATGACTCTTGTTATAGATTAACTTCCTCTCTGGTGTCCTGCTTTGCTCAAACTAGATGACAGAAAACCCATGATGATTATACTCTCTGTAAAAAATGTTAAATATATCCTTTCCAAAAAGAAACACTGACTATAACCAATCAAATTGCTATAACTAAGCACCAGCCTTGTATGAATAATGCTGTAATCCTGCTAAAAACTCCTCTGTCTCCGCCTGTATAAATAAAACCTTATCTTCCCTACTTCAGAATGCTGACTCCATTCCCTTGGTGTTGGAGTTTCTGAGGTCTATCCTCACACATTGCACTTAAATAAACTCTCTTTCATTAGATTTTTACCTTTTTGATTTTTTGAGGTTGACACTTCTTTATAACACTTTCTTTATCAAACTCACAGAGCCTACCTTTTTGTAAAAGCCTAGGTCTTTTAGGAAGCTAATCAAGATAAAATTGTTGATGAA